TCTTCGAACCATGCGAGCGGGCTTAGACCTCTCAACTATGCTCCAGCGGGGTCGGCGGCTTGAGCCGGAGGCTCTTAAATTTGGGGTTTGGGGTTTAGGGTTTAGGGTTTTGGGTTTTGGGTTTTGGGTTTTTGTCTGCCTTGCACGTCGGCCTAAAGAAAATGTCCGAGGCCACCACGCCCCCCTCGCGCGGGTAAAGCTTAGCTAGAGGAACATTGCACCGCATCATAGCCTAACGCCCTAAAGCCCTCAAGCCCATGACCCTACAAACCCCAAAACCCTAAACCCTGCAAACTCTAGGCCCGGAACCCAACCCTAAACCCTAAAACCTAAACCCTAAACCCTAAACCCTAAACCATAAACCATCCCACAGTCAAAAACCCCTGAGCTCTCGAGCCCCAAACTGCATGCGTCATATACCACCCCTGAACCCCGAAGCCAAAAACACCGCACAAGATGTCTGTGAGACGCCGGCGTACACTTCGGAGGTTCATGTCTTCCGAGAACGCTTGGAAAAGCCAAAGTAGGAAGGCCGAGGTCACGACAATGAGGCCGTCCCGCTCAGTCTGTAGTGTGTGCCACTTCTCATTGACCTCGCGCAAGTCGTCCTCCTGCATCGACCACTGTATGGAGCGCCTGCATTGACGGAGGCAGGTCTGGCAGCGCCAGGGTCTGCCGCTGCAGTGGCAATGGCATGTCCAGCACGAATCGCAATCGGCCCCTGTCGGACCTCTGCAAAACTGTGTGCTGCAGCACGTTGGCGTGTAGCTTGGCTCCGAGGGGGTGAATGGACGTAGCCTCTAGGCGCTGGGCAGCTCGGGCAAAAGGCGCAGGATGCGTTGCGCCCGAAGGCGTTGGTGAGCTTCGGAGCCTGGTAGACCCCTTCCACCACTACATTTGTTTAGGGCCCCACCCCTCCAACCCCCCCCCCTCAAACCCTAAACCCTAAACCCTAAACCCTAGACCCTAACCCTAAACCCTAACCCTAAACCTTGAAACCCTAAACCCTAAACCCTAAACCTCACGCCCTAAACCCTAAACCTGGAACAGACCGCGAGCGCTTCGGTCCTGCGATCGGTTCAGCTCCCGCAGGACCTGCACTCGCTCAAACAAGAGTTAAACTTTAAGGGTTTCAGGCTCAGGCCTTAGGGTTTTTTAAGGGGTTATGGTTTAGGGCTTGGGTTTTCAGATTTAGGGTTTAGGGGGTAAGGGTTAGGGCTGAGGGTTTAGGGTTCAAGCTTGGGTGGTTGAGGGATTTTGGGGTCAGGCCCAGAGCGTCTGGTCAGGGATCCACAGGCAAAACCCTCAGTTCAATCACGGGCTTCGTGGCTAAGGCTTGGCTAGGGTTCAGGCAAACACAAACCGTCAATTCTAGACCCCAAAACCTGAAGCCGCAACCAACCCTACAGCCCCAAATCAGAAACCCGAACCCAAAACCCCTAAGCCCTGAACTCCTCAGCCCAAACCCAACCCTAAATAGAGCCAAATGCAGAAACCCAAACCCCCAAAAACCCTAAGCCCCGAACTCCTACACCCTAACCCCTTACCCCCCTCCCCCAGAGTTTGTAGGTTTAGGGTTTAGGGTTTAGGGTTTAGGGTTTAGGGTTTAGGGCTTAGGGTTTAGGGCTTAGGGCTTAGGGCTTAGGGCTTAGGGCTTAGGGCTTAGGGCTTAGGGCTTAGGGTGACTTGAAACCCTAACCCCCAGCCAGCGCCAAGTTCATGCCGAAGACCAGCGTCTCCGCATGCTCAGGGCCGAGCCTGGAGCTGCAGCCGCAGCTCTTTGAAGGGGTTACAGGGGTTTAGGGTTTAGGGTTTGGGGTTTAGGGTTTAGGGTTTAGGGTTTAGGGTGTTAGGGTTTAGGGTTTGGGGCATGGGGGGATTTAGGGGGATTTTGGGGTTAGGGATTTAGCGATGGGGTTTGTAACCTTCTCCCATTTCGCCTTTTTGAATAGTTTTTATCGGGGGATCTCCCGCTCACCGTCTAACACCCTTATATTCCCAGCCCTTTTGAACTTCCTAGAAAGCCAAATAAAAGCAAAAAGAAGAGGAGGACAATGAACGTACCAGAGAAGACAGGTAAACATGAGCTCTTCTTGATATCCTATTTCACGCACGTTTCTCATACCTATTTTATCACTCCTTGAAGAGCATTTGAAATTCTCTTATGAACTAAGTCCTGCAAGATGAAAGACCTGTCATCTACTGCTTGCTGATGGACGACTTTATCTGCCGCTGAATTTTTGGAACCCCGACCCCCGGCAAAAGCACCTTAAAGAGGGTTTGGAAAAAAAGGATCTGCTTTTCACCAAGAGGCAGCCGAAAACTTGGACGGCTGAGGTTTTTAAAAAAACAAACGAAATTTTAATAACACCGAAAAACAATTTTAATAAATTCCTCACACGCAGGGGTTTTTATTAAAGACCCAAATAATCTTAAAACTCGCGAGTTCACAAACATTTAGCTGGCAAATCCAGGCTCTGCAGAACTCCTCGACAACCATGTTTAAATCTAGGGGTGGGGGGTGGGGGTCGAGATTTGGCTGGTGATTTATTAAAAACAATGCACTTCCCTGGTCTTTATTGTGCTGCAGGTATAGAAAATCCACCAAATTAACAAGAATGTTTTGAGGAGATATAAACCTTTTGTTCGTTCAGTTCTTCAGTTTACTTGTCAAGGAGAAAACGATATTAAATAGGATTTAAGACCTATTTAAGAACTGGGTTAATCTCCACAACTCAAAATATTACATACTAACAGCAATCAACAAACAAGAAAATAGACGGCTTCCTTGTAAACAAACTCCTCACAAAGTTCGGTTCTTGGAGTTTGGGGGTTTGCAGGTTTCAGGTTTAGGTTCATTGGAGTTTGGGGGTTTGCAGGTTTCAGGTTTAGGTTCAGGGCATCGGAGGTTGAGAGGTATAAGGTTTCAGAGTTTGGCATTTTGGGGGTTGAAGGGTTCGGGTTTAAGGTCTGGGGTTTAGGGCTTAGGCTTTAGGGTTTAGGGTTTAGGGTTCAGGGTGTAGGGTTCAGGGTTCAGGGTTTAGGGTTTAAGGTCTTGGGTATAGGGTTTAGAGTTTTGGGCTTAGGGTTTAGTGTGAGCAGAACCTGCGGGCTGCCCTAAAGGCTTAAGGTTTAGGGTTTAGGGTTTAGGGTTTAGGGTTTAGGGCGTCCCCTCTGTTGAGTTTAGCGCTTTCCCGCTGTGCTCACAGTGGCGGGGTGGGCACAGACAAGGATGGGGTACCATCCGTTGAAATTTAGGGTGCCTTCCCTAAATCCTAAGCCCTAAGCCCTAAGCCCTAAGCCCTCAGCCCTAAGCCCTAAACCCTAAGCCTAAACCCTAAACCATTGCAAGCCCCAAACCTCAGCCCCACCCTTCCGATGCAGCGCAAGCGGCAATGCCCGGCTGCCCTCAAATGCCAGCCGTGCGTGGCTCAAGGCCTCCTGCAGAAAGATCACAAATAGGGCTACAGGGTCAAAAAAAAGCAAAGGCCTTCGAGAGACTGCATTCCACGCTGCTCCTCGTAGCGGCCGCGACTGCTCCTGAGCAGCTTAGGGGTTTGGGGTTTAGGGATTAGGGTTTAGGGCTAAGCAGGGTTTAGGGTTTAGGATGCACAACTTTAGGCTGTATGCTGTAGGGCTGAAAAGGGGACCCTAAACCCCGTCAAAAGGGTTCAGCGTCCTCTTGTCTGTGGGCAACAAGCCCTAAGCCCTAAGCCCTGAACCCTGAACCCCAAACCCCAAACCCTAAACCTAATTTTAGGGTTTAGGGTTTAGGGGTTTAGGGTCAACGTTGTACAAGCCTCAGCCCTGAACACTGAACCTAGGGTTTTAGGGTTTTAGGGTTTTAGCGTTTAGAATAAGGTTTCGAGGGTTTCGGGTTTAGGGTTAGTCCAACTCGAACCTCCCTTGTCCGAGTGTCAGCAGCATCGCTAGGTTTGACCTGGCGATGAAGGTCTCGCTGTTCTCCGCGCCAAGGGCCTCTCTCTACCCATTTTTAGGATTTAGGGTTGAGGGTTTCGGGTTTGGGGTTTAGGGCAGGTGTGGGCCCTTGCTTTTGGGCCCTTGCCAGATGACCCTTCTGTACAATACATACATACACCCTAAACCCTAAACCCTAAACCCTAAACCCTAAACCCTAAACCCTAAACCCTAAACCCTAAACCCTAAACCCTAAACCCTAAACCCTAAACCCTAACCTAAACCCTAAACCCTAAACCCTAAACCCTAAACCCTAAACCCTAAACCCTAAACCCTAAACCCTAAACCCTAAACCCTAAACCCTAAACCCCAACCCTAAACCCTACACAGTTACACAGTTACACAGTTACACAGTTACACAGTTACACAGTTACACAGTTACACGGTTACACGGTTACACGGTTACACGGTTACACGGTTACACGGTTACACGGTTACGTACACGGTTACACAGTTACACAGCCACACTGGAATCCTAAACACAACCATCTCCTGCAAGGGGGCTTCTTCTTCGGGCGGAAGAAGCACGCATACCCACACCCGAATCCCCGGAGGAAACCCTAAACCCTAAACCCTAAAACCTAAACCCAAAACCCCAAACCCCAAACCCCAAACCCAGCCTTCTCCAAGCCGGCGACTGCTCTTTGCAGGTGGCCCTATTGCAATCAGGTGGGTTTGGGTTTATAGGTTCCAGGGCTTAAGGGTCTAAGCTTTGGGTGGGGTTCAGGGCTTAAAGGCTTAGGGCCTTTGCTTGCCCGGCGCCGACTACCACAGAAACAACTGCGTTTTCTCTAAGTGCTGCCGCAGTCCGCTTCTCTACCGTCAACTACAGCTGCAGCTCAACTGGTTTGGGGTTATAGGGTTCAGGATTCAGCATCTCATGTTCTAGCTTTGCCAAGCAGCTTTTCAAGCCGCGGGAAAAAACGCACCCGCCCAAAGAATCCCATAACCTTAAGGAAATTCGAAATGTAATCTATCCATTCTTAGGGTCTTATCCTAGAGTCTTAGGGTCTTAGGGTTTATAAAGACTTAGTGCCTTCGTGTTTAGGTTTAGGGGTTCTGGTTTTAGTATCCAGCGGCCTTATCAAGACATTTTGTTGAGAGTCTTCGAATGTCAGTGCCAAAGGGTTGCATCAGGGGTCACAAGGCAACCCCAAACCCCGAACCCAAAACCCTAAACCCCGCAGAACAGTAACCGCTGAACATGCCTGAAGAAACCTTGAACGCCTTGAGAACCATAAGCATTCGATGAGGCCATTGGCTGCGGGGTTCGGGGTTTCATGCTTAACCACTCTCACCTAAATACGTAAACCTTAAACTCCGTGTTGGGCACAGGCATGCCTCCACTAAAAGTCAAGACGCGTGCCTATGCCCTAAACCCTAAACCCTAAACCCTAAACCCTAAACCCTAAACCCTAAACCCTAAACCCTAAACCCTGCAATAAGAAGGTGTGCCTGTGCCCAATAAGGCCGCCTCCTTGTTGGGCATAGGCGCCTCTGGACTTTCCCTTTATGCAAGCACGCTCCTAAACCCTAAACCCTAAACCCTAAACCCTAAACCCTAAACCCTAAATTGGGCATAGGCATAGGGGGCGACGTAGGGCTTTTGGGTTTAGGGTCTACTGAGGGCCTTGGGTGTAGGGTCTTTGGGCTTTGGGCTTTAGAGTTCAGGGCCTACTGGCCTAAGACGCTAAGACCCCAAGACCCTAAGACCCTAAACCCTAAACATCTTGGCAAGGAGCCGGCCTCCGCCTCAGAGACCTCACCTGCTTGGCTCAGCACACGGCCCAGGTGATCTGCACAGACCAGGGCACCTCAGGCTACACCGCCGAGAGGGGCTAAGTTCTGCAGACGGACTTTAGGGTTTAGGGTTTAGGGTTTAGGGTTTAGGGGTTTAGGGTTATAGGGTTAGGGTTAAGGGTTTAGGGCTTAGGGTTTAGGGTTTAGGGTTTCCTCGACCTACGGGCTCTTGGTACAGAATGATGGCATTAGCTACCTTATATCTCCCTGTGTAGTTAGGTACATTACAACCCTTAAACCCGAAACCCTAAACTAAAGCGAGCTGCGGGCGCTGTTGTGAGTAGCAGCGAGCGTGCACGCGGCGAAAACCAGCCCCTGCTAGCTCCGGAGCTGTCGCGACAGTCGCAACGAAGGAGCTCTCTTAGCTGCACTTAGAAGGTCCTAAACCTGGGGCTCGGATCGTCGCAACCTTTAGGATTTAGGATTTAAGGTTCAGGGGCCTGTCTGTGGCCTGTAAGATTTAGCATTTAGGGTTCTGGGACCTGTCGGGGGCCTTTACAGGGGCCTTTCCGGGGGGGACTTAGCATGTAGGGTTCAGGGATTTAGGGCTCGGGCGCCTCCTGAAACGTTTAGGATTTAGGAATTAGAGTTCAGGGGCCTCTTTCGGGCTGCTAAGGAGGATTTAGGGTTTAGGGTCTAGGATTTAGGATGTAGGGTTGTTAGGCCAGGCTTTGGCGTTTTACGGCTCCAAGAGCCTTTTCAGGTGCCTTCTGAGCCTCCTAGAAGCTTGGGCCTCCCAAAACCTCTTGAAAACCGTCGCCCAAGCTATCCAACGCAAAAATCTCGATCCGAGGGAATAACATGAACTTGGGATCCGAGCAACTATTTGAGAGGAGAGCCGACACCAAATATGTGAAAACGGGAAACCCTAAACTCGACACCAAGGTCGTAAGCTGGGTGGGTTTGGGCAGATCAGTGAACCTTGGCGCACAAGAGTCACGACGGAGCTGTGCCAGCGGCCTTCTCGAGCTGAAAATGACCTCGCCAACACCTACTTTTGAGCGCGGAACGAAACTTACAGGGCCATGGTGGCCGCGACACGCCTACTTCTGATCGAGGGCGGCGCAGAAACATTGAGACCTCTGTATCAGAATCAAGCTTGGCGCACACCACAACACACGCCCTGCATAACGGTGTGCGCGGAGCATGTGGCACACCCTCAACCCTAAACCCAACCCTTGGAGGGATTGATTCTATCACACAATTTCCCAAAATAAGGCCCAAAAAGACCTAGGGGTTTGGGGTTTTGGGGTTTAGGGTTTAGGGTTTAGGGTTTGTATTCTCCATTCGGTTAGGGTACCACCGGGCTCCCAAGTAAACGCAGGCAGTTCGATCTGAATACCGCGAAGTGCTACGAGCACCACAACCGGGTTCTTAAGGGAGGGGGGTTCAAGGGGGGGTAGGTAACCCCAGGACACCTATTACTCTCTACTACTCCCTAAAACTCCCTAAGCTTCCCTGATTACCCCCAATCAACCCTAAACCATAAACCCAATAAACCCTGAACCCTAAACCGTAAAACCTAAACCTTAAACCCTAAACAACCCTCCCTTCGGAACCCTTTCAAACCTATTGCACTCCGTAGGCCACGCCACCGACGCTCTCCTCGCCCCAGTCGGCCTGAAGACAAGGAGAGGACACTAAACCCTGAACCCTAAACCCTGAACCCTAAACCCTAAACTAAAAAACCCTAAACCCTAAACCCCAAACTCTACCCCCAAC